ATATATAAACATAAAATATGCCATTTTTTTTTTTAAGAGACAGGGTTTCACTCTGTCACGCAGGCTGGAGTACAGTGGTGTGATCATGGCTCACTGCTGGGCTCAAGTAATTCTCTCACCTCAGCTTCCTGAGTGGCTGGGAATACTGGTGTGCACCACTGTGCCTAGTCCATTTTATTTTTATTTTGTAGAGGGTCTTGCTTTGTTGCCCAGGCTGGTCTCCAACTCCTAGCCTCAAGTGATCCTCTCACCTCGACCTCCCAAAATATTAACCATTTTAAATTGGTGCTTATTACAATTACAATGCTGTGCATCCATGGCCACTATCTATTTCCAAAACTTTTCATCACCCCAAAGAGAAACTGTAACCATTAAGCCATGACTGTCTCCTCTCCCCACCGGGTGGCAGCATTTTGAGAGAATTAGGAATTGGGATAAAGCATTGAAGAGGTGTACTGCAGCGAGGCTTGGGGACACTTGGGGATGAATTATACTCATCATCTAATTATTCTAGCTCTCATTTGCATAACATAGTTGCAGTGTTTCTTATATGTCATTTCATACAATTTTCAGATACTATTTTGTTTATTTATTTATGTTTGTTTTTTGAGTCGGAGTCTCACTCTGTCGGCCAAGCTGGAATGCAGTGGCACAATCACCGCTTACTGCAGCCTTGATCCTTCTGTCTCAGCCTTCCAAGTGGCTGTGACTACAGATGCGTGTTACCACACTGGGCTAATTTTTGTGTTTGTTTGTTTATTGTAGAGACAAGGTCGCATCAGTTTGCCCAGGCTGGTCTCAAACTCCTGGGCTCAGACAATCCTCTTGTCTCAGCCTCCCGAAGTGCTGGCATTACAGGCATGAACCACCATGCCTGGCTTATATATTTATTTATTTTTGAGTAGGAATCTCACTCTGTTGCCCAGGCTGGAGTGCAGTGCTGGATCATGGCTTACCACAACCTCTACCTCCTGGGTTCAGGGGATCCTGAACAGGCACGTGCCACCACGTCTGGCTAATTTTTTAATTTGTAGAGATGAAGTCTTGCTATGTTTCCTAGGCTGGTCCTGAATGCCTGAGCTTAAGGAATCCTCTCACCTTGGGCTCCCAAAGTGCTGAGATTAGAGGCATGAGGCACCACACCCAGCTTTATTTATTTATTTTATTCAGAGAATAAAATCAAATCTCGAGAATCAGGTGGCTTATTCTGTCACCAGCAGGCAGGTGGCAGAACCCAGGACCAGATTCAGATCCATTTACACTGGGGGAATAACAGAACCAACCCTCACAGGCAAGTCCCTTATTTGCCAGGCCCGGTGCTAGGTGCACCCACGCACATGATCTTTGCTGCACCCCGTTCTGGGTCACAGGGCTAGTCAGTGGCAATGCTGCAATGTGGACATCAGTGTGATGGTTGTTCACCTATTGCTCCTGTCTCCCAACTCTGTCTCCCTGGGACCTTTTCTCTTCCAGGGGCAACTGGATTGGCGAGGCCCCATACAAGATGGGGAGGCCATGTTCCGCCTGTCCCCCCAGTTACCAAGGCAGCTGTAGCAGCAACCTGTGCTTCTCTGGACTGAACTCCAACAGGCTCCGATGGTTCTGATCCTTCCCTGGGCTTGGGTGTGCCTCTGACCCTCCAATGTCCTGCCCCAAAGACCAAGTGGAGCAATGATTATTTTTTTAAGGACGTGAGTTCGGATCACCCCACTGGATTTCCCCCCCTAGACTCTCTTTTCTAAATGTCCAGCAAGTGTCAGAAGAAATGGTTCCCTTGTCTCCGTTCCTTAGTTCCACCTTGCTTCTCTCTGGACTCTGGGAGAGAAACCTGCACCTTTCATTAACTCACTTCTCAGAGAGCCAGAGGGAGGGTGCAGTGTGGAGTTGGACCTCTCAGGCTTCAAGCCCAAAGCCTTGGTCCATCCAATGAGAGACACTGGCGGTGTCATCTTTCGCCTGAAACCCACCTTCACTCATCCCATCACAGCCAATCAACTTCTGAGTAGCCTTTGAGGAAGGCGGTTCCCTCTCTGAGTTGGGCTTATTTCAGATACAGGATTTTAGAAAACACTGAAATTGGATTGTGGGCTTAGCCCCCTCCCTCCATTGTATGTTACTCAAGCCACGCCTGGTCAGACCCTCCTTTTGCAGATGGGTATCCTGAGGCTCAGAGAAAGGGTGCGACTTACTCAAAGCCGCACAGCTTGACTTCCATGGCACAGGTTGGAGCTCAGGCCCTGTGATTCCTTTCTGCCTCCTGACCACTCTAAGCTCTAAGGACTGAGAAGCAAAAACCAACGCTGGCTTGAAGGAATGCTCCCTTTCTGGGCCTCTTTTTTTCTTTCTGTATCCTCTGTCTCTTGTTGGGCTACTGTCTGTCTTACTCTTGCCTATTTTTCTGTGTCCCTGACTCTCTTCTACCATACAATCTTATTCTCATTCCAATAAACCGTTTCCTCTCCCCACCCCATCCCACCTGGAGATCACAGCACACAAAAGCTCTTTTGTCTCCAGAGATAGTAAAATCTCCACCCTCAGACCTTGCCCTGCAGGGACCCACTCCCTGGCTGGCTGAGGCGAGCCTCATTCAAAGCCCCGAAATGGAAAACAGGCCTTTTTCCACCGGGTCCCCATGTTGTCCTGGACGGTCATTCACGCCCAGGCCATGACTATGCATGTCACCCCCTTCCCTCTCTACCCCCAATAAAGTCCTTTGAGATCCAATGCAGCGACTCTTTCTGTCCCTACCTGTCTCAGCTCCCAGGAGGGTCTAAAAACAAGGGAAGGGAATGGGTGGGTAGAAAGGGGGTGGGGGTGAGCAGAAAACCAGTTCGACCAGAAGACCAAGGGAGGGGACTAACAGCGCCCTAGGCTCTTCTGTGCACAAAGGTAGATCAGCATGCTTATGCATATATCATGACTCCATTTTACAGATGAGAAAAACGAGGCTTAGGATTTCCAAATGCTGGAAATGAGCGAAATAAGAGAATCAAGAACATTATCGTGAGTTTGTTGTTCTCAGATTGTATATCTCCTACTTTATTTTTCTGGAACCTGAAAAATCATCTTGAGTTCCCACCCTACATTGGCACTCTGCTTCACTGTCCTTACCTTTGTCTAATCCCTGAGTTTCTCCCTCCAGAGCTGGAAGGCAGGAGTGAAAGGATTAAGATTTGATCTTTCAAGTCACACGTAGCAGATTCAAATGCAGCTTCTTGAGCCTCAGTTTTTGCATCTGTGAAATGGAGATAGGAACTACAACAATTCTGTGAAATGAAGAGTTTAAAGTGCTGACCAACCAAGCAGTTCATAGCTGTCAGTGGTCATCATTTCCATTATCCTGGTACTCAGGGCACAGGACAGCAAAGCATGCAGTTGAAATTGCATTGGCTTTGGGGTCAGACACTGAATTCAAACCCTATGTCTGCTCCTTACTAGCTATGGTAGTTCACGATGCCACTTAATCCAGGGGGTCATAGACCACTTACCTTTCCAGAACATTTTGGGAAGTTGGCATAGGATTGACAAGCTTTTCCCCCCAATATAAAGCTATTAATAATTTTTTAAAAATCGAACGTTGACTATTACCATTGTTTTGCAGAAGAGAAGGTATTTTAATATAACCCATGACCATCAATAACAGGAACTGGGGGTCCCTTTGAGGTGGTGGCACAAGCTGGAAAGAGATCACGGGAAGAGAGGAGTATGTCACCCAGCTATTCTGTTGGTACAACCAGCCAGGAGACAGGTACTGCCATAAGGAATTGAAATAATTTACCAAAAACCATCAGAACACAGTGGAGCTGGGTTTGCTCATTTTTCTGAGTCCTGAGATTGTTTCACCGCTTCTCATTTGAGCTCTCTCTAATGTGATAAAGACCTTGACTTCACAATCCCAAAGCAGGCCATGAGATCCAACAAAAGAAACAGGACTGTTCCCAAAAAAGCAGATGGCAGGTGTCTAATATGCAAAAGAGCTGAAACACAGTCAGCTTTGCATCCAGAGACCAGAGCGCAGGATTCAGCCGCAGGCTGTATTTAGAATGGGGCATGGAGCCGGGCTCGGTGGCTCAGCCTGTAATCCTGCGCCTTTGGGAGGCTGAGGTGAGTGGATTGCCTGAACCCGCAGGTTCGAGACCCTCCTGGGCAGCAAGACCTCATCTCTAAAATGAATCAAAAATCAGCCGGGCGTGGTAGCGTGCTCCTGTACTTCCGGCTACTTGGAAGACTGAGGTAGAAGGATCGCCGGAGCCCAGTGGGTCGAGGCTGCAGGGGCCGGGAGCGGCCACTGCACTCCAGTCTGGGCGACGGAGTGAAACTCCAACTCAAAAAAAAAACCCAAAAGAATGGGGCCTGGCGTCAGACTTCGCCATCCTTGTGGCACTCACTCACTCATAATATCAGCTTTGGATGATGACCTGATGAAGACCCCCCTCCTCTACCGCTCCACAAGCCCTGAGGGTGCAGGGATGACATCTGCTTGACTTATTTCCATATCACTGGAGTCTAACACAGGGCTGGGTGTGAGTAGGTGCTCAATAAATACATTAGAGGAAAGGGAGATGGGGGCTGTAATCCCAGTTCCTCTCTGCACCAGCTGTGAGATTCCAGGCAAGGAACTGCTCTCTTTGCCTCAATTTCCTCAAGATTTGACGTGAACATGGCAAATTATTTGCAACTCCCAGCATCCAGTAGGCACTCAATAAACACCATTCTCCACCCTCCTTTCTCCTCTACTCCTCCCTTGGCTTCCCTATCCAGCTTGCATCGTGCCACACCCATAGTTTGGAGCCATAAAACCCAACCCAGGTTGGACTCTCCCCTCTCCAGTTCTTCCTACTAAGTCCCATTCCCCAAGTTAGGGGGCCAGCGTCCCCCACATCTGGATCCAGGCGTCCTGAACCCCAGAGTGCAGGACTGGGGCCCGAGTGGACCTCGGGTCTGGCCAGATCGCCATTGCCATGGCAACAGCAACAGTCCCCAGCCGCAGGTTCCCTAAGTGACTGGTTACTCTTTAACGTATCCACCCACCTTGGGTGATTAGAAGAATCAATAAGATAACCGGGCGGTGGCAGCTGGCCGCGCTCACTGCCTTCCTGGTGGACTGGCTCCTGGTGGCCCTGCTGCTGCTGTGTGTGGGCCCCTGCCACTCCATGCCCCTGGGTCTCCGGCTGGGTGGGCTTGGCCATGGTCAGTGTGAACGCACCCCTCAGGGCTCCGGTGGAGGGTCCTTATGGTAAGTGGGGCCAGCAGCGGGGCCGGGAGGACTGGGCAGGGTGGGAGCATGGTCAGGTTTGGGAGGCCACGGGATACCTCCCGCGTGTTTCAACGGGCCCAAGCCCCTCCAAGGGCTCTTGTAGAATGGCAGGACACCAGACAGAGGCTATGACTGACTTTCCTAGGCTCTCATGCAGGGGCATGGCCAGTTTGGAGTGGACCCTCCTGGGAGGGGCTGCAGCAGCCCTGGACGGGGGCTTGGCTCCTTTTGCCTATGAAGCTTTCCTGGGAATGCACCCAGGAATCTTTCCAAAATTTCACAGAGGGTGGGGGCTGTAAGTAACATCCGGTTTTGCTGCAGGGCATACTGAGGTCCACAGAAGCTGGGCCTCGGTGCTGTAGCTATGCATGGTCTAGCTGGAGTTGGGACCCATGCTGACGAATCCCGTGGGCGGTAGGCTTGATCCCTCCACGCCTCCGTTGGCTCTGGAAATGGGGAAGAGGCAGAAAGTACCTCGCAGTGTGGGGCTCTGGAAAATGAGAGTATCTTGTGCTGAATGTGTGAGCTCACATTCAAGGCCAGGAAGGAATGTGTTCCTGGCAGTGACGGACTCGAGCTCTGCTGCGTGGGGTGGCCCCAGAATTGGAAGTAGCTCAAACATCCCTCAGGAGAGTGGGGACAGATGACTATCCCTCAGTAGAGCATCTTTCGGGGTGGATGGTGACCCATTTAAGGAAGAATACAGATCTGCGTGTGATAGGGAAGACCCTCCCATTACATCAAGCAAAGGCAACAAAATGGATCTAGATGCTTCTATGGGCACACATGTCTGTATTTGCATAGAAGATTTGTGGAAGGACAGAACCGAGAGACAGCTTTGTTCCTGAGACAGGAGATTCAAGAGAATGTTTTACCTTTCGGGACACATTTTGGATTAAAAATATAAATTAGGTACATTTTTTAACATATTTAAATCACACCCAAGCACCCAGAGCTTAGCCTCTGGAATCTGGTAGATCTTGGTTCTAGTTCTGTGACTTTAGTCAAATGACTCAACATTTATGTGCCATTGTTGCTCTCTCTGGAGACAGTCCGAGGATGTGTCCTGGGGTCATCGTGAATGGCTGAAGGCAGTGAGGGTACGAGCCCTTGACAGAACGCACACTGCAGGGACTCAACGATATTACTTTATGTCACCACTAGCTGAGGACAGAGGGCCAATGAGTGGTAGAATCAGGGTCTGGTTTCTTGACTCTAGTCTGGGAGAACCTTCTTGACCCCCCCAACCTTTTCCCCTCAAGTAGGAGTATGTGATGCATTGGATATATGGAAATGGCAGAGGTGGAAGAACCAAACAGTCTGGGGATCCTCCCACTCCTCTCAGCTGT